AGGATGGAGCTCAGGGCAACTGCATGGGTGCAGTGTACTGGCAATCACCCACATTCTGGTCTATAAGGAAATGTGAACTACTGGGATTTTTTTTGCAGTGTTCAGTACTGAATCTTGGTCCTCACAAGTGCTTCAGATGCATTCTGTCATGGACCTTCATATTTAGCCAGAACTGTGGCTTTGTACAGCTTCCTACATGTTTTAAATTTTAAATCAAATCTGAATAGTGCTTGCTTGTCATAACACTTGGCACTTAAACTAATAAGGCACACCAGATTCATGTCTTTTACATATATTTTCTGATTATTATTTAATTTATTCTTTGAAATTTCATGCGTGTATACAAAGCACTATGATAATATCCAACCTTTATATCCCCTACAATTACCTCTAAAATTCCTGATCACATCCCTTTCCATACCTCATGTCCTTTTTCTTTCTTTCTATAGTCTACTATTTGCTTAATGTTGCCTGTATGTTCACTGGAGCATAGCCAACCTAACACTGGTCATCCCCCTAAAGTAGGGTAATAGTCTCTCTCCTAGCAACCATTGACTCCTAATAGATCTTCAGCTAGGAATGGGGCCTTTTGAGTTCTGCTCCAATCTATGCTGGAATTTTGATTGGCTTGATCTTTTGCTGGTCCTGTGCAAGTAACCACTATTACTGAGAGTTCACATATAAGGATGTTTTTTCATCTTTCAAATTGTTTTTATTGCTCTAAATTTTTTAAACTAAAATATAATCATATCACTTTCATCCTTCTCATTCTTCCCTTCAATACCTCCCTCCAACATCTCTCTGACTGATGTCTGTAAAGCATTATGGAAATTCATGTTGAGTAAGCTAATTTTAAAATATAATTTAAAATAAGGAATTTGAAAGGAAGTACAATACTTGGTTGGACAATAATGCTCCAAAAAGACCTGCGATGTTAAGCAATAATCCCAGTGCCAGACATACAGAATAATGTTATACAAGTTACTGGTCAGAGAGGTCCCACGGGTCTCCAAAACTACACAGGCTGTTACTCTTGCTCATGGTTATATACAGTAACTAAATGTTAAGACCCTATTCCTGAAGACTGCACTCACATTTTTTTTTTGCATAACATAGAGAACACTGTCAAACCAAACTGGACACTTTCTCCCTGTTGGCTACCTTTCCTAGTTGCAGATGTTGCTATGCAGACTGTAGGTAGAAAAAGGATATCAATGGCCTTACCTAGCACTTTACCCTACACACTACAGTACCAACCTACATGACAGTGTGGTCACTGGTACAATAGTGACATAACTGTTATGAAAACAACCATTTCTGATTGGATTTGACCTTCTACAGAGGAAGAAAGTCATGCCTGAAAATGTAAAGTCACTTAGAATCCCATGACTTAGAAGGAGAAAGGTCCTGAGGAAGAAGCTACTGTTATTTTGCTAAATGGTTCTGTTGTCAAATTTTCTTCTAAGTATTACTTCTTATCATGAGCTCATTTCTAGAACAAAAGGATCAGAAACATACATCTTTATTTATATTTGAGTCATTAAAATTATTGAATAAGACTCTTGCAATTAATCAGGCAGTTAAGTAAGCTCCAATAACACAATATTTGAGCTATTGCCGAACTGCAGTAAGGAATTCACTGAGGGAGTGATTTTATTGATGGCACTTACCTCAGTCACTGTGGTGGAGAGGAAAGTGCTTTGGTCGTATACCCAACCATCCACACAGGGCTCTGTGTCTGGCTCTGTCACATTGGAGAAGGTGCCATTCAGATGAAGCAGATGCCACTGTGGTTGGACAAAGCGACGGCACTTGTCTGGCCTCAGGTTGGAATCCAGTGGGATGGAGATCCTCAGGAGGTCATCTTGGCTCAGGGTTCCACTGTCACTGTCAGAGACAGTGTCATTGTCAAGGATGTGGACCTAGCAGCGATGACCAGGGATGGCTGCAGTAAAGTTCTCCAAAACAGCATGAGGAGCCACCATGACATTGCAAATCAGAAGGAAAGCCATCTGAAGGATCTGGTATCTCCCCATACTTCCAGCTTGATTCAAGAGATCCTGAAAGGCCATTGAGGCTGAATGACTGTCTCCAATGGGGAGCAGAAATGCCTACACCTAGGGGAGTATAAATATTTAAATAAAGTTCTGTGTCACAGAAATACCCTAAATAGGGTTGTTTTTGAGCTCTTCTTAATATGCCCATCTTCATGTCACACCAGTCACAGAACTGTGATTTGTTGTGTTGTTGGTACCAGGGAGGGACCTGTTTTCTTCCAAGTAATTAAAAAAATTCTGCTAATATTTTTTCCTGTAATCCAGTCTGTTAAACATTTACTTTATTAGAAATTTTGAGCACCACCCCCATGGTCACTTCTGGTCAGTGATCTGTAACTCCCTGAAAATAAACCAGAGTTCATCTGTAGACAAATTTCTAAATAGTCTTATTAAATAGGAAGCACAGAACCAAATACAGAGGTAATAGCCAAAGAGATCAGAGAACTAACAAAGAGCCACAACTAGCCTTAACTTATCACCTTATCGCCATCACTTCCCCAGAGAGAGCTTCTTCCCATTTAACCTGTGTTTTTATTGCCTTCCTGTTCTGCCTTCTCTTTGGCTCTAAGCACAGCCACTTGACTTCCTTGTCACTGCCTGTCTATGCAGTCCTGTAGGTCCCCATGGTTGGTACTGGGATTGAAGACTCATGTCATTACGCTTGGCTGTGTCCTTGACCACACAGAGACTCTGCCTGCCAAGTGATCAGGTTAAGTGTGTGGGCTACCACTGCCTGACTACTGTTCCTGGCTTACTAAGTGACCTCACTATATGACCTCTGATGTCCAGGCAAACTTTATTTATTAACATACAAATAAAATCACATTTCAGCACAATTAAAATATCACCACATTTCCCATCTTTATTCTAATAAAAAGAAAAGAGAAAAAATTATAACTAATATAAGAAAAACTATATACAATAAGTACAATAGCTATTTACAATATATATAAGTAATAAATACCTCAACAATTTCTAGTCCTTTTGCATTTGACAAACTCAGAGAAAATATTTCATTATCTGTCTTATTTTGGTAAGTAACGTACCTGAATCACTTTCTATCCTAACATATATTACTAACACAGAACTATCTTATATTGTCTTTCAAATTTTTATACTCATACCCTTAGTGAGTTTCTTTTCTGAAATTCTTAACAGGGAAATCTATAACTATAACTATCTAATCTTCAACTAACTATAACTATCTAATCTTCAACTAACTATAACTATTTAATCTTCAACTAACTATAACTCTTTAATCTTCAACTAACTATAACTTTAACTATCTAATCTTCAACTCCCTCAGACACCCAAGAAGGAAATAATATTACCTAATAAAACAGGAACTGCAAGCAAAGTGGCTTCCAAAAAAACATGTGAGTTGACAGAAACAGCCAGCTGCCTGTTTCTGGCTGTTTCTGTCCACTCACATGTTTTTCAGCTGACAGTCACCTGAGGTTTCTCCACAGCATTATAGCATCGTCTTCAGCCTATAGGCTTAGTGTATCTGACAGACACATTTGTGAAGTAGGATGTACACAAGGCCTACAATTCAACCTCACATTCAGTGAAAGTAGTCCATGTACCAGATAAACATGAATTCCACCAGTGTTCTGTCATGATTCAGGATTTTCAATTCTGGAAATTGTTGATGTTTTTGAAATTCAGCTCTGTCCATTCTTCTTGGCTTGTGGGTGGCTTCATCTCTTTTATTAAATGCCAGTCTACCATTGAGGGTTTAGACTCGGCCATCCTAGTTACTCTTTCAAGAATAACTGTTTCAGCTACTGTTCCACTGCACACCAGAAGCCATGGGTCCACTACCTGTTCAGCTGCCTTCAAAGAAAGGGGCACTGTATCTTTTCCAGATTGCAAAGGCCACTTCAGGGATGGCACCATATTGTCCTGGCCTCAGAGGACACCTGTTGCTAAAGCTACAACCACACTTATCTTGGCAAGTATCAGTAGTCCTTTGTTTTGTGTCCTGTCTGCCCATTCTGTCCTGTTTGTCAGCAGTCAATGTGATGACACTTTGTTGTCTAGTGGCTAACTTTTGCCACAATGAAAGTATGCCGTTTCTTCAATGCCTATATCTTCTCTGAAATAGTTTGTTATTTCAGGGGATGACATGTCTCATAGTCATAAAAAAAGAAAAAAATTCTAAGTTATTAAAACATTTTAAATGCCATATTCTGTAGATCTCTGAAGGATTTTAAGATGACCTGTCTATCTAATATATATCTCTGCTTGACCTTCAAAACTTATCTAATATGACTACAAGTTCGATTGTAATGTTTAACTACCAAATTTCATTCTTTATATCCTAATAGTTGATAATAACAACTTTCAAGTATTAGCAAATTGCATTACATTGTTAAATGAACTGTAGAAATACAACATCCTAGACAAGATTAGAAATATATGTAAAGCATTTTCTAACAATACCAATCTCAATATATATAATTTGTATACAATATATAAAAATCCAATCCAATATTAAGTATTTAAAACTAGTAATTGTTGTGGAGCTTCAGGAGTCTAATCAAGGAGAGAGAGGTGGAATTATATGAGGAAGAGATATCGAGACCACGATTGGAAAAAAGCACAAGGACAAATAGCCAAACTAGCAGAAACACATGAACTGTGAACCAATAGCTGAGGATTCCCCATGGAACTGGACTAGGCCCTCTGGAAAAGTGAGACAGTTGATTAGCTTGAACTGTTTATGAGGCCCCCAGGCAGTGGGACTGGGACCTCTCTTTGGTGCATGAGCCAGCTTTTAGGAACTTCAGGCCTATGCCAAGACAATTTGCTCAGCCTTGGTGCAGGGAGGAGGGGATTGGATTTGGTTCAACTGAATATACCAGGCTCTGCTGACTCCCCAGGAGAGAACTTGCCTTGGAGGAGGTAGGAATGAGGGGTGGATTGTCAGAGAAGGCTTGTGGGTGGCAGGAGGAAGGACAAGGGAATCCTTGGCTGATATGCAAAATGACTGAGAAATCTCTTATATAAAATTTAAAAAAAGAAAAAAAGAAAAAATACTAGTAATTTTCTTTTGGAAGTAGATTCAATATTCTACTTTTTATCTATATCATATCTATATCCTCTCTTTACTTTTCTTTTCAGAGTAGATTCAATAGTCTACCCGCTATTCTATCATTTATGTATATATATGATATTGTTCAAACAGGAACCTTAAATCTAATCTCCTTTGCTTAGCCCTTTTCCCAACCATTAACAAAAACTTGTAACCAACCCTCCTAAACAATGAAAATTATCCCAAGCCCCAAACTCATAGAAACACCAAAAACCACCTGCCCCACACCACCCCTTTGGGAATGTAAGCATTTTGTTCTTAAAATTGCTTCCTGCTGGTTGTGGGTGAAGGCTTCAATATGGGATTCTGAAAAGAAAAATTTTGGGTTAATTTCAAGTTTTAGGAAAGGTAGCTATATCATTTGTTGTCCAGTCTCTGCATAAGGCCAAAGTTCAGGGTTTACCTCAAGTCCTTGTTCAAGTAGTCTGTGAAACTGGATCATCTCTGCTAGCTATCTCAAAATTGTTCTGAGAAGTGTGTAGACCAAAGCTGATCTGTGGGTGATGTTTGGCAGCTTAGTGGTATTATTATTGTCCACACGGAATGTTGTTGTGGGGCCCCATCACCTTTCTGGATACTTCAAATGTCATGTTAGACCTGGTCATAATTTCCTGCAGAAAACTGATAGAGACTCAAACACAAAAATATGTATAGGCAGCTAATTGAAGCCTTTTTTTTTGAATTAGTTAGTACTCTGTATGACCATTAATATTAAGTTTAAAATACATATATATTAATCTCTTTAGATTTTGATATAAAAGTTATACATTAGGAAAACTTTAAAGAATCAAAAGAGAATCAAAGAATTGAGATTAGTAGCAATAGAATATTCCCATATTTTTTGTTTTGTTTTCTTCTGTTCCATATCAGAAGATGGCTTTTTCTTCCAGCATGAAATAAAGATGTTGCTTTGTCCTTTTAACAACATGCTTAGATTTAAATAAGGAAAGAGCCATTTTCCAACTCCAAAGCCAGCTTTAATTTTTAATTGAACTGGAACTACAAGAAGACCCTTTGTGTTAAGTGTTTGAGAGAAGAGCAAAAACAAACATTAATTAAGACTTATGAAATTTTATAAATGATACACCAAAAGGCCAATTTACTCCTTTTCTTAGGACATTTTTTCTAGAGGACTTGTCCTTTTTCTTCAGATGTCTCATTTGATCATTGTACTTGAGATTCTTTAGCCTTCCTTCTCCTGAAAGACAAAAACAAAAACCTTCCCCAAGACTAAGTTTGGGGAGGTTCCCTTTTGGCAAGTTATATCTGATTAAATGAAAAACAATTGTTAGTGGTATAAGTTAGTTTAAACTTATACTGGGCATGCTGGTTGATGAACTATCACCTCTTCCAATTAAGAGGCCTATCTTGTTCAAATTGAACCTTTATCAATTTTGATGGTATCCACACCTTGTCTTCTCCTGTAGAAACAAAAACAAAATCTTGTCCCCAATGTAACACATATTCTAGTTTCCATTCTGAGGTCAGACATCTTTAAAGTATATAGGCTGATTTAATTCTGTAGTTTTTTTCTATTATCCAGTGTCTCTCTGAAGCTGTTGTTCCTTTCTCATTGGCATTCAGAAAATTCAAATAGAGAATTATATAATCATTTCTTTTTGTTTGTTTCCCTTTTTGTTTACTTAGCATATTTTTTAGAGTTCAATTTGATCTTTCTATGACTGCTTGGCCTGTAGGATTATGTGGTATACCTGTAATATGCTTCATATTGTAATAAGCAAAAAAACTGTTTCATTTCACCAGAGACATATCCTGGAGCATTGTCAGTTTTAATTTGTGCAGGTATACACATGATATCTATAAGTTCTAGCAAATGAGTAATTACAGAATCAACTTTTTCAGGACTCAAAGCAGTTGCCCATTTAAATCCTGAATAAGTATCAATGGTATGGTGTACATATTTCAATTTTCCAAATTCTGCAAAGTAAAACACATCCATCTGCCAGATTTCATTCCTCTGAGTACACTTTGGGTTACATCTTGATGGTAATGGCGCCTGATTGTAAAAGGA